CACTTGGCGTAGGCCTTTTCCAGCAGGGCGCTCCAGAACTCTCGTGGTGTTGCCGAACGACAGAAGAGCAGCACTCCATCCTCGCTGACAGGCAGGCGATCATCTACGACAACATCCATCCAGCGACCGAGACGCCAGAACCTGAAATGGAAAATCCCTGCATACAAGTCGGGACGCTTTGGATTCCACTCCTGATTCAAATGATCGGGGATGACCTAGGAAGAGGAGAGAGGTGGATGAGGAAGGGTGAAGAAAGACAAGCAAGGAACTAGGAGGAAATGCAGAGAATGCAGAGTAGGGATGATAGTAAAGAATAAGGAGAAAGAGGAAAGATGATTGTGAAGAAGATGAGGGGAAAACACACCAAACCTTTTTCCACAGTGATGGCTCAGACGCCAGGCAGGAAATGGCTGCCACCATCCAGCAGTTACCCAGACTTCCTTGGTGCAAATCACGAGTGCTGATGCCATCGACAAACAGACGGGGGTCCTTACAAATCTCCTGGAGAAGAAGAGAGATCAGGCTTATGACAAGAAATATGGGACGTAGTTAGTCATCACCTGGCAGACTGCAGGATAACAGTAACACTTTAGCAATAGACTGTATATCCACAGTGTGCCTTTGCCCTGTCTTCCTCCTCTCACTCCAACCAGTCACAGCAGACAGCCAACCCTCCCTGAGCCCGGTTCTGCTTGAGATTTCTTCCTGTTAAAAGGGAGTTTTTCTTCCCGCTTGAAGCTAACTTCAAGTGACCACAGTTTCTGGTCGTCACTTTCACATCCTAAGTTTGGACCACAGTTTTTCCACCTTATCAGCAACAGCAGGTTCATTTCTTATTTGTGCATCAAGGAGTCAATGAGCTCCTACCTGCACATTTCTAGGGAAATCACTACGTGACAGCTAATGGGGTGAATGGCATCTGTATCCACCTGGGATCTGAGATCCTGTGATGATAGCAGGAGGCTTGAACCTAAATCTAGAGCTTAAAGGAAGGTCGGCGTTCATTATTATTGGTGAGTTCATCTCTAAAAGCAGGTTGTTTCATGAAGCAGCTTTAAACGACACAGTTAAGTGGAGCAAGCACTGCCATTAATGACTTCAGCAGCTCGTATCGTCACAGAGTTTTATGGGGCCTGCGGGCTGATTCAGTCAGGGTGTCAAAGCACTGCTGAGGAGACAGATAATGTGTGTGTAGACCTTCTGCTCTCACTTTGGACAGGGTCAGGTAACTGTAGAAGTGTCGCTGCACTCACACACACGCAGAAAGATACACTCTGGGTGGCCATAACTTCTTCAGTTGTAACACTAGACAAGAAATAAACCTTCTTTACGACGCTATCATGTTCGTAACAAGCTTCAGATAAGACCACTGAAATTATGAACTGGATAGTTTTGATAGCAAATGGGAAGTTAGGGTGTGTTTGTGTTTGTGTGCCAGCAGGGTGAAGCGACAGGTGACACCCTATCATCTGTGTTGATACACGCTTAAAATACCTGAGTAGTGCATTAGGACCGCAATACCTTTAACCCTTTCTCTCCAGCTCTCAGTCAACAAATTAATCGTCAGCAGGGTTTCACATTAAGAGCACTAAAGGCCTGGCTTTGAATGAACTCCTTGAACTAATGACCCCGATGGGAAATACCCGGGGCTTTCTGATCCTTTCACATGTTTCACTGTTTGGATTAAACCGATTTTCCTCAGCAGAGCACAGTGAGGATCAGTGTCCTGAAAATTAAGACACATCAGACGGGTATAAAACTCTGTAATCATAAAGTTACTGGACCATCAAATGTCTGATAAATATCCACACTAAACAACAATCCCTTCAACCTCGATTCACCTTAACATTTCACTGGTTTAATTCAAGTGTATTACCACACCCTTAGCTCTCTGTGGCCACATTAAAAACCTATACTTAGACAGCTGTACCCATCACAACAGTGTGCTAAAAACACCCATGCTATTTACATTGGCTTGTGCTTTTTCTATACTCAAACTGTACACACCCACAATCCCACTAACACAGCGGTCCGTCATCAACTTGCTCCCTGAGGGCTAAGGTTTCACCAGCTGACATGACGCCTGTCCTTTAAGAGAAAGTGCTTTAATTAACCCAATCTGCTGAAATGCAACATGTGGAGGCAGCAACTCGGTTTAGATGTGGGAGGAGTGGAGATGTATTTCAAGTTAAAAAAACAAAAGAATTTCAATTTTACACTCCACGTCTAACTCACCCTCGGCCTCTTCCAGGTCAGACCCGGTGGAGGCTGTCTCTTGTAAAAGAGGGACTGGTCTGTGGCGGGGAATAGAGGATCCTTGAAGAGCGCTCCTCGGCGGAGGCAGGCCCGCCGCAGCTTGTGAAAACTCTGGCCCTGGAAGTCATACACTCGTTCTGGCATCCTGGTTGGGCCTCAGAGGCCTTAAAGGAAGGTGGAAAGCAGATGAGAAAGGGGAGAGAGGGTCAGAGAACATACTGTAAGAAACTGGAGCTATGCACTGCTAAAGTAGTGTGGTGATACGCTCGCAGCATGCTCACTGGAGAATCATATGGTTGTTGGGGTTTTCTCTGTTTCCTTTGTATTACTGTAGGATTTTTACAATATAAAGTACCTGATGCTGTGATCTGGTGCTTTATAAACAAAATTTTATTGAATTGATGATCAAAATGTTTTTTGGTAAATGTGAGACAAGCAGTTCTTTAGATGCTGTTCTGGGTTCTTTTGTGAGCTGGATGAGTTGTTAATGCCCTCTTCTGTTAATTTTGGCAGGCCGGCCCCTCCTGGGAAGGTTCACACTGTTCCAAGTTTTCTTCCTTTTTGGATGATGGCTCTCACCGTGGTTCACCGGAGACTCAAAGCCTTAGAAATGGCTTTGTAATACCTTCCAGACTGATAGATGCCAATGACTTTGCTGTTTCAATGACAGTTGAGATCTTTCACACTACTCCACTTAATATTATTATTTGTTTTACCCAACTAAACATTACAAACAGTATCACATCACACTGACCGGCTGCAACCTGCCTAGAGACTTTTCTGTGCAGTCCCATTAAGGTGAACCCCACAGTTCATATAATTCCCACTTAACCAAAATGTCAAAGTAAAATTGCAAACACTGTCATCGTTTAACTTATTGATAAAAGTTCATTGAAATTCACAAAGTGTATTAATTTAAAATGTACATAAAACCACCTAATGGAGCATGTTTTAAGTTTTTGTTGAAAGTCCTGATGATGCAAGTATAACATCCAAGTACTGAGTAAGCACACAGTAACTACTGTGTAAGTATTACACATATGCAGGCTACATAACATTGAACTAATTGAACTGAATCTAAAGGGGTATGTAGCTCATGGCAGAGGTAGCTGGGGGTGTTCTGCGGGGTCAGTGTGTATTTTGGGGCCACAGGGTGAGGACAGCAGTAAAGTAAGAGCACTGTTTTCGTCATCAGTGATATGAACTCAGGCAGGAGTCAGCAGTATGAGCATAGTTGATCTTTAACTGTTTGTGTAGCAGAATGATTCAGTGCCAGAGAGAGTGTGCCAGGAGGTCAGCGTTATCACTTTTTGGTGAAGTCTATTTTATGGCTTTTTTTCTCATACGATCTTTTCACAGACGTACCAAATGTGAAGGAAAATCTATAAACACACATTTTTACGACATCAAGCTGCAGGAATTGATGAATGTCTTTTCCTTGCTGCTTTTGGATTAGATGCCAATTTTGGTGATGTTGCCTTCTCTCACCAATAGACTGAGTACTTTTAGTAACATTTCTATGAATTTATCTGCAGGTGCTACATGTTTGTTTTGTTGTTGTGCACTACTTTGACTCTTTAAACAGATGGTTGTTATTTTGGATGAGCCTGATCTGAGTCTATTTTTGTTATACTGAAAACCAAATTCACTACGAGGAATAATGAATTTTATTATAGTGAATGAAATCTTTGTCTTGCTGTGTGTTTATTTGTTTCACTGATTGTGAACTCCAACCCTATCTGGCACAAAAATACATCTTAGGTCAATGAATGTTTTTATATTTTTCCGATATTAACGTGTCATTACGTTGCCTAGCAACCACCTAGTAATCGACTAAAATGACCATTTTTCATTTATGCAACACTTTATAAAAAATATCCTAACACACACAAAACAAATCATCATTTGCTCCCAGTGAGCATCAAAACAAAGTTCTTGTATTTGAATAATTAATCATTCAGGAATGATTAATAAACTGAAAAGGGTTCAAAGTCAGATTTGTAGTAACTTTTGCAATCCATTTTTAATTTCAAATTTTTCATATAGTTTAAAACAATCTTAGGCTAATAAAAATCATAGTTGCTGATCAGATCCTCTGTTTATAGTGTTTTATGTATAAGCTCACTTTAGGTAATCAACTAAGATAATAACAAGATATCACTAGTCATTCAACACAAAGTATTTAAGATGAATTTACAAACGTATATAATTTTCTCTTTCCTTAAAAATTCCCAATAAAAACTTCAACTTTAGGGTCTGCTAGTTTTTTGGACTTCATGAGACTTTAATTGCTTAGTAAATGATTTTTCCTACAATAGTTTGCTTGGTTAGTGCATTAGTTTAGCAGATCACCTGCTCCAGTACTTTTTAGTGTTCATAGTGCATCGACTTTAAGTTTTATTAAATTGCAATTCTTAATATTGTCATTTAGTAAATTTGAAAAGTAGACCTACATTGTTGCCATGGCTCTATAAACATATATTTTACCTTCAAGTCTGGAAGTTTATCCACTTGCTTCCTAAGATGGACCTTTGTGCTGAGCCCCGTCAGTGGATTCCCTTAGTCATTTAGTCATCCTCATTTTTTTGAGGATAATTAAAAAACCCCAAAAACAACAACAAAAACAGCCAACATGTGTCCACTTTTTCCTCTTCCTTATCCCAGAGTCAGCAGCAGTTAATGTTGTCCCTTCCTCTGAATGTGTCAGGAGTGTTTGCTACATCTCCACCAGGTAATTAACTCGGTGTCATATTTGTGCCATTGGACCTGGATGAAAAAAAATTGAACGTGAAACACAACTCCTCACACCATGACTGTGTGTGCAGTTTTTAGAGCTAATGCATGAGTGTGTGTGTGTGTGTGTGTGTAACTTTATCTCCCTTCACTCAGACAATAGACAGACAGCCGCCACACCAGGTGTAATAACACAATTAGAGACTTGGAAATCCTCACACAGTTACTGCAGTGACTCAAGGTTCAGACATTCAAGACGAACAGTTTATCCTCTGACATCATCTGAAGAACATCAACAAATGTGTTTCCTAAGGTTGTGTGTTTGTATATCTGCGCTCATATCACTTACTGCTGCCTCAGCTTTTCTCTTTGGTGACTGTGCACATTCTGTCCTCTTCTCCTCGAGTCTCATATCTTCTCTTTTCTCTCCTCACTTGAACATGGCCTGTGACTCTCTTGCTTCTCTTTTTCTGTCTTATCTGTGTAGTCTCTTCTCCTCTTTCTTCTCCTCTCTATCTTCTCCCGCACAGTCTGCTGGAGTATCTGTTGATCTGTTGCTGTCGAGTGTGCTGCTCCTGACACCTGAGAAACCAAGAGACTAGCGCTCCTATGTTAACTACTTCACTGCTGAACACCAGGCCAATAATCCCGCATTCATAACACCCTGCAGCAGCAGCAGCAGCAGCTTTTTAAGGAACACATTGAGGAGCAGAGTGAAAACTGACAAGCTACTGATATATTAAAAAACAAAAAACAAAGAACAGATTGTGCTTAAATTATTCTTCTGTTTAGTCTGACCATCTGTGTAATTGTCTATCTAGATTTCATATTGTGTACACTACTGTACACAATATGAAATACTGTATCCACTTGTTAAACTCTATATTTTTAGAAATACACTTGCTGATGATGTATAACATCCATGCGACCTGGCAACATACTGAAACTTCAGTAGTTTCATTCAATTGTTTTGACTTAAAAAATTCTTTATGTCACATAAAAACATAAATTCATTTTCACATATTTCACTTTTTGGATATGATTGTTAATCATGTGTCTACATGGTTATTATCATTTTATTTAAATAATATGCTTAGAGACAATATGCATAATCCTTTTATTTCATGTTAATATATCTATGTGCATTATATTGTAAATATTTCTGCCATTTCTATATACAGTTACTGTCCACTTTATTAGCCACATGTTGCTGGAAGTGGTTTGGAACCCGTTTTTCCTTCAGAGCCACCACTTTTCTGTTTTTAGGAGTGGGACCCATTTAAAAAAATACTAATAAATACACTAATGTTAAAAAAATGAATACATTCAATTAAAGTTATTAAAAGAATAATAAGTGACGTTGATTCTAAGAGCTTATACATTTATTAGTAAAGAACTGAACTCAAAACTGAGCTCTTTAACGTTTGTGGATAGACTATCTTCCCTGACATCGCAGCATCATGCATCGACTAGTTACGTCTGTTATGACGTACTACGCACGCGCAGTTTAAATTCGCCGTCAAATACGCCGATGTGGCTCCTGTGCCTTTAAACTCGTGGTAGTTTGACTTTTCCCGCAGGTTTTAAAGCGAACCGCTGCAATGAAATTTGCCGTTGTGTCTTTGTTTTGGCTCTGCGGCTTTATTTCGGCGGAAGAAAACGAGAGGCTGCCGAATAAATGCGAAGGTAGGAGCAGAAACTAGCACCAGCAGCTATTCTTGGACCTGCCCACAGTTACCAAACTTCTTGTTAACGTGTGACTTCTGATCTCGGTCAGTGTGTAAGTTTCTGACAGTCGAGCTGCAGGACGCTCTGGAGAAAACCGCTCGCTCCCGTGAAGTCTTGGAGGTCGGAGAAGTGTTGGGCACCGGCAAAAGGAGGAAAAAGATCAAATACAACACCTCGTAGGTATCTCTGAATGAGGACATGCAACTTATTTGAAGCTTTTTTTATGGGATTTCTTTGTGGCATGTTTGAGCTGTACTGCAGGCTGTGACCTGTGTCTGACTGTGACACCAGTAGTTAACCCCGTGTGTTTGAATGCAGGGAAACTCGGCTGACTGAGGCTGTAGACAACATATGCGAGCGCATCCTGGAGTATAATGTTCATGCAGAGAGGCCTGGCAGCCTGAGATATGCTAAGGTAATCTAACAGTTTCTTTAATAGTTGTGCATTAAAAAGTTGGTCACGTGGTCCATATTGCTTCAGTTTGTGTGTCAGACTGACATTTAGCTCGTTTGTGTGTCTGCAGGGCTCCAGTCAGACCATGACGACCCTGAAGAATCTGGTACACAAAGGGGTTCAAGTGGACTTGGGGATGCCGTACGAGCTGTGGGACGAGCCCTCTGTGGAGGTGACAGACATGAAAAAACAGGTGTGTGTGTGTGTTTGTGTTTTAAATGCACGTTTTGCTCCACATTTTGTAAAGTGCATAAGTTATTTGATGACACTGTATATGTAATCATTTCGTCATATTACACTATATTGTGGTGGGCATTATGCAGGTGCTGCTATGGCAACCAAGAGGAAATGTGTTTAATGTAGAGTACACTTAAATTAATTGATATTAATTACTTGGTGTGTGTTAGTGTGAGACGATGCTGGAGCAGTATGAGGATGTGGTGGAGAACTGGTACTTCCATCATCAGGACCAGAGGCTGGAGAATTTCCTCTGTGAGAACCACGTCCTCGAGACATCAGAGCAAGGTGGGAGATGCATGGTGCCAAAACAAGTTACTGGTTGGCAGATGATATTTATATTTTAAGTCGCACTTTGTTGAGAATGTAAACACCCTGCCAAAATGATTACATTCATATACCAGGAAAAGCAACAGAGAAAATAAGAACTTCTCATTTCCTCTGTTTTGTAAATTGAATCGATCCCAGGGTTAATTCAAACAGGCCCTGAAGTCAAATCACAAAATTTATACAATACAACATTTTTAAAGTGTGTATGTGAGCAAAAGAGAGGATGTCAGATTCTAGGATAAACTGGAACTGTGGTGTGAGTACATGCAAAGAGCCAATTCTGTTTTCATTTGGTTACCTGCAAGCCACTTTGCAAACCACCTGCACCCAAACTCATCTTTGATGCTGTGTCTCACTGAATTATTTCTAATCCTGTTATCACTCATGTCTGCCCTTTGCTGTAAGGGAGTCCTGCTGCTCGCCCTGCGGTTTGGACATTTGTTAGTGTTTGTGTCCATTTGTAGAGATTTACTCAGACATGCTTGCACAAAGTCCTCCAACTGTAAGCATGGATGATGCTGTGCATTTATTATTTTTATTTATTTATTTTTAACCACAGCTATCGGAGAATGTTTGTTTGTTTGCATGTAAAGTGACTGAAATGTGAACTGAAACCACACAGCCCTTTGTGTTTTCTTTCTCTCCTTCCCTCAGAGTGTCTAAAGGAGGTGTGGAAAGGAGACATAGGGGACAAAGAAGGAGCTGAGGAGGAGACAAGTGTGGAGGAGGAGGTAGAAGAGGGAAAGATTCATGATGCCGGGGAGCTTTGAAGAAGACAAGGGGAACAAAGAAGACAACACTACACCTCAGTTACAGGTTTTTCTAACTGCAAACTGGTGGACAGAAGCTGAAATCGTTTGAGAGGGTTTCAAATATTCAGTAAAAGTTACACTTAGATATATAGCTTTACGATGAACACGTGCAACATGACACTTTATAGGATTTAACCCTAAACGTCTTCCATTATTTTGTATGTGTGGCCTTTCTGAACTGTTACAGCGCTCCCTGTGAGGTTTTAAACCTTTATCTTTAATATTTGAATGTTAGATCATCATGTGACTTCTCCCTTTGCCACAGTCATGGTACATATCAGTATTGTTGTATCCCTAATTGCAGACTTGAAGTGCAGTATGTACAGTTTTTTTTCATGTTTAATAAAATACTACTTTTACAGTGCCTCTGTACAAAATCACTCATGAAATACACATCTTTGTTTATGTCATCTCGTTTCTTTATGATCTGACTAGATTAATAACTGCTAAGTTTTTCTTTTGGGTGTGTTGTGTTGTGTGGTTTTTTTTTTTTTAAAACTGAGAAAGGCTATTTAAAAAGAAGAAAAATCTCCCGTTGAAAATTCATCTGTTTGGGGGGGGGAACAAGCAAAAAAGAGCAGCATAATAAACACAACACCATCGCATTAAAGTTGACATTAATGCGATAACATTGAATGCTGTTGTGCAGCACTCAGGACCGACAGCGCACAATGTTCTTTGAGGTAGCAACCAAGAAAGGTGTGGTTTGTCTATGAACAGGGAACACTCGTGTGTACACCTGTGTGGATGAGCGCACTTTAATCAAAAGGTTTCTCCATGTAACGATCTGCTAGAGGGTGTAGGGAGCCATAGCCCTGTCCTCCAGGGCATGAAGCATGCATGGAGAAGATCCAGGACCCAGACATCCAAAGGCCCCAGAGTGCGAGGGGCATCCGTGCCACCCTCCTGGGAAGAGCTGAGGAGAGCCCCAGAGCAGGGGTCACCCAGCAGCCTCAGAGCAGAAGCCAGAGGGGGCTGGAAGAGTGAACCGAGCCGAGGGCCCCCCACCCCATAGAAGAGGCCAGACTGAGCTACGGCCGCCAGGCCCCACCAAGCAGCCACCGGGAGTGAGCCAGAACATACATGCGGGCCCAGCCCCGGACACCAAGAACCAACAACGCCTGAGGGCATCAGCCACCAGCTTGGAGTGTGGTGAGGGGAGATAGGCCTCCATATTTTGGAGGGCCTGAGATGTTCCCAAAGAGATGGAGTCTAAGACCCGACCTGACATATAGACACAGATGTGCATTTCCACCCTCATGCGCGCATATAAAAATACTCAGCACTCACCCAACTTGAAGACAGACACAAATGGACACTGAACACACAATCATACTCCCCAAACATACTTTACACCCCAGGTTCAGGTTCCCTCGTCCCCAGAGGGGGAAACCGCACCTAGACCCAGGAGATATAACTGTTAAGTGTTACACTTATCAAAGCTGCCCTCTCTTCCTCACACAGCTGGCAGGCAAACAGGCCAAACTCCCACTTTGGAGATCCGGTTGAAGTTATAACTGCAGATAAATGAAACAAGATCCAGGTCTCTGTGGTGAAATGTTATGAGGACAGCATTAAGATTCTAATAAAAACTGCTTTCTTGCACACTGGCTCACCTGCAGGATCACTACACTGCCAAGGTGTCTGAGAATGGAGACTACCACAATTTCTGCTGACTGTGTGAGAACAGTTGTGGTTCACACAAAGCTGTGCTGTTGTCCAACTTCAGCTCTTGAGGGCTCAACAAAACCTCACAAAGCCTGAATGTAGCTGCTTAATGCTGCCACCTAGTGGGTTCTCTTGATAGTGCTGAGAGTGTTGTGCTTTTTAACAACTTGTTCCCGCCTCACCTGGTGGCACTGTTCACACTGTTTCTGTCCAGTGTGAACAGAAATGATAATTTACACAAACATAAAAGTCTTAAGAGCTTTTA